GAGGAGCCTGTACATAGATCAAGAGGCAGTTGTTTGGACAGAACAAGGGGATATTGCATATTTTAAAGTACCTGTTAATGGCCACTTCCCGATGGCTAGCAGAGGCAGTGGGATAAAGGACTCAAGCCCACCCTCTTTTCTAGGCTGAGGTTGCTGCCTGACTTTTTTTTTTTTTTTAATAGCTTTATTGAGATAAAATTCACATGCCGTATAATTCACCCATTTATAGCACACAATTCAATAGCATATTAGTTATTCACAGAGTTGTACAACCATTACCACAGTCAGTTGTAAAATGCTTCATCACCCCAAAAAGAAACATTATACCTTTTAGCAGTCGCTCCCAATTCTCCCCTCCCCACAGCCCTTAAAAAAAGACCCTTGCCATCAAGTTGATTCTGATTCACAGTGACCCTATAGCCCTAGGCAACCATGAATCTACTTTTTATATCTATGGATTTTGGACCTGCCTATTCTGCACATTTCATATAAATGGAATCATACAATGTATGTTCTTTTTGACTGGCTTCTTTCACATAGCATGATGTTTTCAACGTTCATCCACGTTGTAGCAAGTGTCAGTACTCCATGCCTTTTTATTACCGAATAATGTTCCATTGAATGTACATACCGCATTTTGTTTACCTGTGCATCAGCTGATGGACATGTGGGTTGCATCTTAGCGTCTCAGCACAGGAACCTCAGGTCCAAAGGACATGCTCTGCTCCTGGCACTGCTTTCTTGGTGGTATGAGGTCCCCTATCTCTCTGCTTGTTTCTCTCTTTTATATCTCAAAAGAGATTGGCTTAAGACAATATCTAATCTTATAGACCTCAGTAGTATAACTGCCGCTAATCCATCTTATTACATCATAGTGATAGGATTTACAACACACAGGGAAATCACATCAAATGACAAAATGGTAGCCAGTCAGACAATACTGGGAATCATGACCTACCCAAGTTGATAGATATTTTGGGGGGACACAATTCAATCCATGACAAGTTGTTTCCACTTTTCTAGCTTTTATGAATAATGATGCTATGAACATTCATGTACAAGGTTTTGTGTGAACATATATTTTCGATTCTCTTTGGTTATGACGTGTTTTCATGTAAATAACCTGCGCCTTCTAGAATTGTTTGCCATCTGCACCCTCCTCCCACAAGGTATTTTCGTAAGCGTGCTATGCTAATTTTTTTTAACAGCAAAAATTGGCATAGTGGCGCTTATGAAAGTACTTCGCAGAGGGAGGGCCTGGTTGGCAAACAAACTTAGAAGGCTTGCATTATTTGCGTAAAATACAGTATTTAGGAGTAGAATTGCTGGGTCAAATGATAACTCTGTTTAACCTTTTGAGGTACTGCGAAATTTTTCCACAGCAGCTGTGGAAACTTGTTTTCTGCATTCCCACAAGCAGTGTGTATGAGGGTTCCAATTTCTCTACATCCTTTCCAACGCTAGTTATAATCTGTCTTTTTTTATTAGAATCATCCTGATGAGTGAGAAGTGGTATCTTATTATGGTTTTGGTTGACATTTTCCTAATGGCTAATAAGCCCTGGTGACGTAGTGATTAAGAGCTCAGGCTGCTAACCAAAAAGTCAGTAGTTCGAATCCACCAGCCACTCCTTGGAATCCCTATGGGGCCGTTGTACAGTGGCCTGTAGGGTCGCTATGAGTTGGAATAGACTTGACGGCAGTGGGTTTGGTTTTTTGGACTTTTTTTAATGGCTAATGATGTTGAGCATCTTTTCATATGCTTATTGGCCACTTGTAGCTCTTCTCTGGAGAAATATCTGTTCAGATATTTTGTCCATTTTTAAATTAAGCTATTTATCTTTTCATTATTGAGGTTAAGAGTTTTTTATATATTCCGGATACATTCCCCTACCAGGTATACAATTTTCAAGTATTTTCTCTCATTTTCTGAGCTGTATAAAAGTTTTTAATTATCATGAAGTTCAATTTATTTCTGTTTTCTTTTTTTGCACGTGCTTTTGATGTCATATCTAAAAAACTACTGCTTAATCCAAACGCACAAAGAGTTACTTTTACGTGTTCTTCTAAGAGTTTTATAATTTTATGTCTTAGTTTCTTAGTGCTGCTATAACAGAAATACCACAGGTGGGTGGCTTTAATGAACAGAAATTTATTTTCTCACAGTTGAGGCTAGAAGTCTGAATTCAAGGCACCAGTTCTGGGGAAGGCTTTCTCTCTCTGTTGGCTCTGGGGGAAAGGCTTTGTCTCTTTTCATCTTCTGTTGCTTGGTTTCTTAGTGATCTTCATGTAGCACGGCGTCTGTCTTCCCCCACTTGTGCTTCTTTGCTTCTGTGCCTCATGTGTTCCTTCTATATCTCAAAAGTGATTGGTTTAAGACAAACCCTACACTCATACGGCCTTATTAATGTAGCAAAGAAAACTTTATTTAGAAATGGAAATATATTTAGGTCTATGATCCATTTTGAGTGAATTTTTGTGCTTGGTATAAGGAAGAGGTCCCACTTCATAGCAGATAAACGATTTGCAAATACTTTTTTCCCATTCCAGGGGGTGTCTTTTCCCCTTCTCGTGCTACCTGACTCTTGCAGGGCGCCAGAGAACTGTTCCCTTTTTTGTTGGCTATGGCAAGTCATGGAGCCCTATGACAAGTCATGGCGCAGTGGCTAAGTGTTCGGCTGCTAACCAAAATGTCGGCAGTTCAAATCGACCAGCTGCTCCTTGGAAACCCTATGGGACAGTTCTACTGTATCCTACAGGGTCGCTATGAGTCGGAATCGACTCGACGGCAACGGGTTTGGCTTTTTTTCTCCTTTTTTTTTTTTTTGGTATGACAAGTCATGATAGAGTCAGAGAAAAAATGTGTCCAAATGCTAGAATTGTGTTTCAACGTGAAGACTTGAGGAAGCACAGCTCTGTTTATGCTCTTACTCAAGAGGATGCAATGCACTAATTTTCCCTGTAGAAACTCTTACTGAATTCTACAAACCAATGTTTTTGAAGGTGTGGGAATCCAGGGGAATACTTGCCTTGATTGTGAACGTATCATCTCGTTCTAATTGCCTGTACGCCTTCAATCTTTGTAGGCTCGAGTTGGCTTACCGGAAGTCACACTGGGCATCCTTCCTGCTGCGAGAGGAACCCAGCTTCTTCCGAGACTCATTGGAGTTCCTGCTGCACTTGACTTAATTACCTCAGGTGAGTGCTCGACGGCAGCTGACAACAACAGTACTACAGACCTTGTCATCAGCTGACGAGACCAATGTGAGGAACTGGACTAAGATTTAGAAAAATCCTGGCCTAACCACCTATTACCTATGTAACTTTAAGAAGGTACTTTAATTTCTTTGACTCTCAATTTTCTATAAAGTGGAAAGAATACCTTCTCTGAGAGTTTCTCAAATGTTACCGTAAAGCTCAAATGTGAAAGCCTTCTGAATGAAACTGTATACAAACCTGTTGCTGTTGAGTCGATTTTGACTCATAGTGCCCCTATAGGACAGAGTAGAACTGCCCCATAGGGTATCCAAGGAGCAGCTGGTGGATTCGAACTGCTGACCTTTTTGGTTAGCAGCCGGATGCTTTACCACTGGGCCACCAGGGCTTCTATCAAATTTATGGTCCAAGTGTCTCTTCATAAACAGAGAGTACCAGTGTTCACACAGGGTACATTATATTCCGATCCAATTTAGAAATTGTAATACAAACAAGAGCTAAAAGCGGAATTTTCATGGAAGTCTTCAGGTCTTAGTGTGGAAATGACTGAATTTTTTATTTCCCAAGTGTTATTAGTTTTGAATGGAAGTTGTTCTCTTTCAATCTGGAATGTGGACAGTACAACACTAGAAAACATTTAGAGACCCTGAATTTATCAAATATCATAAGACGTAAAAAGATTTTCAGCTGGGGTAAGGTTGGAAGAAAGAACATATCTAGCTATTCATTCCAAACAAGTAAAACTAATTATGAGCCTTTGGAGCAGCCACTTGACTTTTCTGTGCCTTAGTTGCTTCATAAATGAGGTCAATAACAGTACCTACCACAGGGTATGTGTGGAGATTAGATACATTAATACATGCAGTGTGCTTAGAACAGTTCTAGTTATAGTAGTAATTCCATAAGTGTTAACCCCAAAAAACCAAACTCATTGCCGTCGAGTTGATTCTGACTCATAACAACCCTATAGGACAGAGTAGAGCTGCTCCATAGAGTTTCCAAGGAGTGGCTGGGGGATTCCAACTGCCAACCTTTTGGTTAGCAGCTGAGCTCTTAACCACTGCGCCACCAGGGCTCCCCATAAGCATTAGCTATTATTATTATTCACTTATCTGTCTTCTTAAAGAAAGAGGAGGATTGAGTAAAAATCAAATGAGGGGCTTGATAATAGACTATATCCTAAAGAATGAGCAAGGCGGCATTGGGCAGTAAAAAGAGCACAAGCTTTAGAATCAGAGACTTGGGTTTGAGTCCCAGCTTTAATACCTATAAACAAAATGCCTTGTGCAAGTTAGTTTTATGCATTCATCCAGCAACTATTGCTAAGTACCTGTCATGTGCTGGGCCCTCTTCAGGAAATTAGGGCTGTAGCAGGTAACCACACTGACAAAATCCCCACCCTCAGGAGAGTACATGGAGCAAACAACAATGACAACAGGCGTCATCAGCCTATTTCATCAATTCAGAAATGCACATTTTTTTACATCTTTGAAATTGGGATACCTCTTACATTCATTGTCAGTCGTGGTTTAATTGGCAGTGTTTTGTCTTTCCTAGTCTCTTTGGGTCAGGAATTTTGGAGCAGATTAGCTAGTTTTTAGCTCAGGGTTCCTTAGGAGGTTGTAGTCCAGACATCAGCTGGGCAATGATTAGACAGATCTATAAAACAAATGGTAACACACATGAGGAACGTGTTTCCTAGTTCAATCAAGTCTATGAGACCAGTGGGCAACTCCTGCCCAAAGGCAAGAGGAAAAGGCAGGAAGGGGCAGGGAAACTGGACGAATGGACACGGGGAACCCGGGATGGAAAGGGAAAGGGGAACACATTGAGGAGATTGCAACCAATGTCACGAAACAATTTGTGTGTAAATTTTTGAATGAGGAACTAATTTGCACTGTAAACTTTTATTGAAAGCACAATAAATTAAAAAAAAAAAAAAAAAGACCCCAGCCAGGGCTACAGTCATCTGAAGTCTAAACTAGGGTTGGAGGATCCACTTCCAAGATGGTTCCCTCACATGGATGGCTAATTGGAGCTGGCTGTTGGCAGGGAGCCTCAGTTCCTCTCCACATAGACTTCTCCATAGAGATGTTTGAGTGTCTCCACAACATGTTAGCTGGCTTCCTCTACAGCGAGTGATCCAAGAGAGAGCAAGGCAGAAGCTGCAAGTCTTTTATGACCAAGCTTTGGAGTCACACTCCATCTTTCCTGAAATAACCCATTGGTTACACAGGTCTGCCCTATTCTATGTGGGACGGGGCTTGAGTATCAAGAGGCCAGACTCACTGGGGACTATTTTGGAGACAAGCTACCTCTGTATACTCGTACATATGCCTACCTGTTATATAAGGTATACCTATATATATATGTATATATATATAGAGAGAGAGAGAGAGAGAGAGTAGTAGGTGGAGTCCTTGGCTGACGCAAACAATTAAGCACTCAACTACTAGTGAAAAGGAGCCCAGGTGGCGCTGCGGTTAAGAACTTGGCTGTTGACTGAAAGATCAGCAGTTTGAATCCACCAGCCGCTCCTTGGAAACCAGATGGGGCAGTTTTTCTCTCTCCTGTAGGGTCATAATGAGTTAGAATCGACTTGACGGCAACCAGTTTGGTTTTTTGGTTTTTACTAGTCAAAAGGTTGGTGGTTCAAACCAACCTGGAAGCATCTAGGAAGAAAGGCTTGGCGATCTGTTTCTGAAAGTTCACAGCCTTGAAAACCCTATGGAGCACAGTTCAACTCTGTACACATGGCATCACCATGAGTCAGAAGTGACTCTACGGCAACTGGTTTTTCTTTTTTTAATATACAGTAGGTTAGGTGGACGTAAGTGCTAAGGAGAAAACCTAAAGCAGAAAGTGAGGTTATACAATGTTAGGGGTGGGGGGCTTTAATATTTTAGCTATGGTAGCTAGGAAAGGCTTCCCTACAAATTGACATGTGAGTCAAGAACTAAAGGAGGTAAGGAAGACTTGTATGCCAATATCTGGAGGAAGAGCATTCCATGCAGAGAAAACAGCAAACGCAAATCCCTGAGGAGGGTGTGCTTAGAGTGTTCAGAGACCATCATGAAGGTCAATGAAGCTGGAATGGAGTGAATGAAGGGAAGCGTGTTAGGGATGAAGTCAGATCACATAGGGCTTTGAGGTTGTTATGAATTCAGTCATGCTCCCCAAAAATAGGTGTTGTAAATCCTAACCCCTATACCTGTGGTTGGAGCCCTGGTGGTGCAGTGGTTAAGCACTCAGGCTGCTCACCAAAAGGTCGGCAGTTCAAATCCACCAGCTCCTTCCTGGAAACCCTATGGGGCAGTTCTACTCTGTCCTATAGGGTCACTATGAGTTGGAATCAACTTGATGACAACGAGTTTGGTTTGGTTTTATTGCTGTGGCTGTAATCCCATTTGGGAATGGGTTTCCTTTGTTATGTTAATGAGACCCTATTAGTGTAGGCTGTGTCTTAAATCAATCTCTTTTGAGATATAAAAGAGATTAAACAAGCAAGCGAGAAGCAGAGCTGGGGGAGACAGATGCCACACCACGTGAAGATCACCAGGAAACCAAGGAACAAAGACCTTCCTCCAGAGCCCACGGAGAGAGAGAAAGCAGACTCACATCCTTCTCCCTCCGAGTGGCTGGCTGGTGGGTTTGAACCGCCGACCTTCCGGAGAGCAGCTGAGCACTTTAAACCACTGCACCACCAGACTCCTCATGATGGATCATAAGCACTCCCAAAGCACAAGACAAAGCAAAAAGGAGAAGCAACAACAAAAAGGAAACAGAGAAGAAACTGTTCAGATCTGAAATGGAATCAGAGATTGAATTTTAGCAAGCCCGCCATTTTCCTGGGAAGACTGATGAGGGGACAGCAAGGTCCTGCTGTATTTTGGTAAAGATGTTAAACATCTAGACAAGAGAATCCTGCAAGCTTCCAAAGAGTAAAAGCAAAGCAAAATAAAAGGTTACTTTCAAAGGAACTAAAATCAATTATTCCAGCCACAAATAAATGCCAAACTTATGAAATATTAGAATGTTTAGAAATGTTAGAATGCTTTGTAGTCTTTAAAATGATATCTAAATCTCATATTGATAGATATAACCCACATATACTAAAGCTCTTTGGAGTCCTCAATACTGTTTAAGAGTGTAAAGGGGTCCTAAGACTAAATAGTTTGAGAAATGCAGAAACCATGATACAAAACTTTGTATACAGGATCCAAATTTGAAAATAATTTTAGTCTGTATGCACAAAAATGGATTTTTTCTTTTACAGGAGGGGGTATAAATTCTATAAAATATGAAAGAGGAGTTGGAAAAACTTATAATACTGAATTTTTTCTCCAATAAAATAAGTTAGAAATTGTTTTAATTTACAAGGTAAGATAAGTACACTTTGAAGAATGTGAACTATTCTAAGGGTCTAAAGTAGAATTCATTACAGGATGCTTACAGTCCAACACACTGCAGAAATTCAGAGCACAGGAGACAGTTCGTGCTGCAAAAGAAAAAACAGAAAATAAGCAAAGAAGCATAAAAGATAGTGGGGAAATCATAGTAGCGTGAAATGAGTCTGTAAATTCTAAGGCTTACAGAAATTAAAGCGTGGGGGGGAATACTGAGGAATTTTGTGGCTCCGTTTTCAGTATTAAATCTGAAAGGCAAGGGTATCTTGAGGGAAATCATGAAGAAAATTGACTTCTTTTACAAAGACGAAGTAAAGTGAATTTGGATTGGCTTTTTCCCAAAGCATGCTTATAGAAATATTACTATTTTTAACATGATGAAGACGTAAAAAGAATAAGAATATGATGGATTTTGATTTGATTTAGAAAGAAGCTAATATTCGAACTGTATCTTTTTAAGTAGCCTGTAGAATTTTAAGGAGCCCTGATGGTGCAGTGGTTAAGAGCTTGACTGTTAACCAGAAGGTCGGCAGTTCAGATCCACCAGCCACTGCTCGGAAACCCGATGGGGCAGCACTCAGCTGCTAACCTACAGATCAGCAATTCAAACCCACCAGCTGCTCTGTGGGAGAGAGATGCGGCAGTCTGCTTCCTTAAAGATTTACAGCCTTGGAAACCCTATGGGGCAGTTCTACTCTGTCCTATAGGCTCTATGAGTCAGAATCCTCTCGACAGCAATGAGTTTGCTTCTTAGTCATCTAGTGCTGCTATACCAGAAATACGCAACTGGATGGCTTTCAACAAACAGAAATTTATTCTCTCATAGTCTAATAGGTTACAAATCTAAATTCAAGGCATCAGCTCCAGGGGAAGGCTTTCTCTCTCTGTCAGCTCTGGAGGAAGGTCCTTGTCCTCAATCTTCCCCTGGTCAAGGAGCTTCTCAGGCACAGGGACCCCAGGTCCAAAGGACGCGTTCTGCTGCTTGTGCTGCTTTCTTGGTGGTATGACGTCCCCAATTCTCTGCTTGCTTCCCTTTCATCTCTTGTAAGATAAAAGGTGGTGCAGGCCACACCCCAGGGAAACTCCCTTTACGTTGGATCAGGGATGTGACCTTAGTAAGGGTGTTACAATTCCACCCTAATCCTCTTTAACACAAAATTACAATCACGAAATGGAGGACAAGCACACCCTGCTGGGAATCATGGCCCAGCCAAACTGTTACACACATTTTTTGGGGGACATAATTCAATCCATGACAGTTTGGTTTTTTTGGAGGGAGGAGAAAGGGTACAATTTTAGGTCCACTTTCGAATGAGATCTGGAAAGGACTCTGTGTAGAAAAGATTGGAAAATAAGCCGTGAAGACAACTGGGAAAAAATGGAGATTACCCAGCTTGGGGAAGAGGAGTCTCAGCCTCAATTGCCATGGTGGCCCCTTGTGGTAGATCTACACAGGGCCCTGTTAGAGCCCAGTGGGTGGTGCTTGCTGTCTACACTGAGGGCAACCCAAGAAAGAACAAGTCTAAACGTCCACCTGAGGATTTGGGTTGGATATACAGAGTCGTGTCTTTAGGTCCTTGACTGTTTAAAACAGAATAGAAGTACCTGGAATCTCGCTGACTCTGTAAGGACATTAGAGGTACACCTCCATTTTTGTGAAATCCAGACCAGAAGAATTCATTATAGCTGAAGAAGTTTTCAGTCCATCCTGTGGGTAGCTCATGTCTCCCCTGCTTTGTTGCCCCAAAGATTCCTCTAGTACCCAGGTTCCCGCCTTCCATTTTTTGTCCTCTTGGCCCCCTTAACCTGGGTGTGCTGACCCACTCACTCATCACCCAAGTCATTTTTTATATATGGGAGAGCTGGCCCCTGAAGCCACTCCTCGGTTCCCCATCCCACTCCCCATCTCAGGAGGAGATCTCCAAGCCCGTTTTCAAAGGCAATTCCAGAAAAATGCCCAAATATTGCTATAGGGTCGCTATGAGTCAGAATCGACTCGACAGCAATGGATTTTTTTTTTTTTTGGTTTATTGCTATTACAGAGTGACCCCTGCCAAAAAGCGTCAAGCTGTCTATCTGATGAAGAAAACCCATTTGTGCTTCTTCGAAGCACTCCTAAGAACCGGGAATGGAGGGTTTGTCTCAGAGATGTCACTCAGCAAAACGAACCATAACAGCAGCGCAGACTAGGGAATTGTTGACACCAAGACTGGTTTGATGATCACTTGTCAGAAGGCAAGACGGTCCTGGCAAGAAAGCAAGCTACGAGTCACAGTCTCCTTCCTTCCGAGCCTGTGGTAAGGGATGCTTGCATTCCCTACCCTCTGCTTCAGAGTATGCAGATCAAATGACATGTTTACAGCTGGTAAAGAAACACCAAGGCAGAGTTCTGGAACCATGCAAACCCTCCCCAAGCTTCGGTAACCCGCTAGAGCTATTATTCCATTCTGGCGGCTGCAAGTGCCACCACTGGACCCTGAAGACTGCCAACACCACTGCTGGGCCCTAGATTCTGGTGCCACGAGCACCACCAGACACTAGAAGTCACCACCTGTGAAACGAGAGCTAACCTGTTTCTGCTGCTTCGTGTCATTAGGCCCCACTAACAACACTCACGAAGCATTCAACAAAGCATTCAAGCCAGGCCTGGGGTCATGGGCCACCCTCGCTGCACGGGTCTGCAGGCACAATCGTCCGATCATTTCTGCAACTTTTCATCGTATATAATAGGAGGCCGGGCTGCAAAGCTCACACGGTAGCAATGCCACAAACTAAGGGATGTGTCGAGATGCTGGGAAGCCAAAAAATGGCAGAAGTCCACCCTACGTGTCCTTTGTAATTTTGGTTGTAACTGTTAACATAATGTCAACTTAATCAATCGTTTTTTTCCTCTCTACCTGACTATATTTGTGTTTTGAGACTATGTCTTTTCTTTTTAGTCAACCATCCAAAGAAAGCCCAAACCAGTTGTTGTCAAGTCAGTTCCAACTCATGGCCAGCCCATGTGCCTCAGAGTACAACTGCTCCACAGGGTTTTCATGACTGTAGTCTTTTGGAGGAGCCCTGGTGGTGCAGTGGTTAAGAGGTCGGCTGCTAACCAAAAGGTCAGCAGTTCAAATCCTCCAGCTGCTCTTTGGAAACTTTAATGGGGCAATTCTACTCTGTCCTATTGGGTCGCTGTAAGTCGGAATCGACTCGACAGCCATGGGTTTGGTCTTTTTGGTTTCATCTTTTGGAAGTAGATCTCCAGGCCTTTCTCTCGAGGCATCTCTGGGTAAATTCGAACCGCCAACCCCTGGTATATGTTGGGTATAAGGTAGCTACTATTGCTACTACTCTGTTGCTATTATTTCTATTATTGTTATAAAAACATTAATAATCTCTTACATTTCTATAGAGCTTTATAGTTTATAAACTGCTCTCACATACATTGTTCTCACGTAATACTCAGAATTACTGAGGTAAGCGTAATTATCCCCACTTACCAATGAGGAAATCGTGGCCCAGGTCCCGGCCTTCACTGTCAGACAAATAGTAAAAGGTGGAGCTGGAGCTCGAATCCAGGGTTTCTGGTCACCTCTGTGGTGCTCTTTCTACTACGACAGTCAGTGTGGTCCTATCTGCTTTATTTAGTAATAGGTGCTTATGTCCAGGGCAGATAACCTTCCTTACTGGAGCGAGTAATGCTTTTGCTTTAATCTCACAGAGTTCTTTGATTTGTTTCGTTTTGTTTTGTTTTAGGAAGGCATGTTTCGGCACATGAAGCCCTCAAGCTGGGCATCGTAGATGAAGTTGTAAACTCAGACCCCATTGAAGAAGCAATCAAACTAGCCCAGAGAGTTTCAGGTGAGAAGATAAGAGAAATAGCACAAGATTGGAAACAAGCTAACTGTCCATTTTAATAAGGAACTGCCTAGATATGGTACACATCCGTACAATGGTTACGATACAATTACAAATGAACGAGAAACTCTTTATATATGGATATGGTATGATCTCCAAAATATATTACTAAGTGAAAAAAAAATCCTTGTGTATAGGGGTTTATCATTTGTGGAAGAAAAAATGAGGATGGGGTAGAATGTATATACGGGGAAAATATATATATATATATATATATATATATATATATATATATATATATATATACTTGTTTATGCATAAGTGTTTCTGGAAGGATCCACAAGAAATGGTTAATGGTTGCCTCTGGGGATGAGATGGGCAGCTAAGGAAGCAGTTGGAAGGAGATGTTTCACTGTTTTCTCTTTCGTACCTTTTCAGTTCTTATCACATGGGTTTACTTCTTATTGAGACATAGCAAACAAGCAAACAAACGTTTCAGCAAAGAGAAAACAGGCTCTATAATTTACCACAATAAAGCCAAGGGTCTCTAGAGTTCCTGTCTCAGCAAGTCAAGTCATTTCTGCCTGGTTTCTCCTTGATGGACTCCTGACGGTCCTTTAAGAGTCATTTGGAGGGGCACTCCTTTTTTTGTAACTATTCTTTTTCCATCTGTGGAGGTTGACCACTTTAAATGAGCAAGATGGAGCGGGTTAAGGGTCGTCAGAAGAAATAAGCAGGAGGAGAGTGGAGCTACAGGCATGTCTGTCATTTACACCTGTGGCTTGAGTTTGTAAGAACCCCAGTTCTAACAGGAAGCTCTTTTTCTTAACTGATTTCTCTAGTTTCAGGTTTGGGAGTTAAATTACCTGAAGAGATGGATGAGGGTCATGGTCTAGTACATCTGTAATATGAAATGGTCTGTTCACTCCAGCAACATTGCACAGCTTGTCCACTTGGTGGCATCCAAGTGTTGAAGAATCACCTACTTGAAAGCTTGGTAATTCACCCGTTAACAGTAGGTGAATAGTTTGGGGCTTTCAACTCTATGGATAATTGCGTAACTATTTTAAATCATAATCATGAAGGCTATATAAAAACCAAAAAACTCGTTGCCATCAAGTCAATTCTGACTCATAGCAACCCTATAGGACAGAGCAGAACTGCCCCATAGGGTTTCCAAGGAGCAGCTGATGGATTTGAACTGCTGACCTTTTGGTTAGTGGCCTAGCTCTTAACTGCTGTGCCACCAGGACTCCTGAAGACTGTGTAGAAATATGTAAAAATGTTGTGATATAAAATGTTTACAATATGAATGTTCATACATTGTATTCTTATAGCTACATAGAGTATATATGAATACAGAGAAAACTTAGAAGAAAATATGCAAAAATTTCCCCAAAATTTCTTAAGTGATTTTTGCTTTGTTTTGATTTTGTTCAGCTTAGGATAAGTCAGTTTTCTCAATCATTTCTAAATGATTTTTGTTTTGATTTTTTTCCAGCTTTATCAAGGTACAGTATACCCACAATAAAAGTCACCCATTTTAAGTGTAGAGTTTGAAGAATTTCTTGGGACTTCATTTTCATCATCAATAAAAGGAAAGGGTTCAACAAAATTAGTTGGTTTCAAACTGTGTTTCACGACCTTAAGGGCCCCTGTGGTGGGAGGCGACACTCAGTGGTTGGGTCTTCCTATTTTTTTGTCATTGTTACAACTGGAGTAGCTCCATGATGTCTGTTTTGGGTTTGAGGGATTAGGGTCTAATCCCTAAAATATGGGAAACTCTAGGATTTTAACTGTTTATTTTAAATGGGTTCCACTCTCTGAAATCCTATGATTTCTTGGTGGTGCTTTGTCATAGAGATAGAAGGTAGGGAAATGGGGCCCATCCAATGGAGGACTAGCTCAGAGAATCTTATCCACTTTTACCATTTATTTAACAAAGCAAGTAATTTAGCTAGGCTTGTTTATTTTGCCTTTTATTTTCATTTGAGGTCTTTTATTTCTCCTCTTTTACGCTTCCCTGTTTTCCCCTTCTTTTTTTTTTCTTTGTTTGTTTCTATATATAGCTATTAGTATGTGTTCATTTTGCCAGAACAAAATTGATGGGCTAATTTGGAGGACAGGTTCTTAAAAAATCTAATGTATTTATATTAAATATATGTGCATTTATTATACATAAATATGCATATGGAAAACAAACAAATCTGTTGCTGTGAAGTCGATTCGGACTCATAGTGACCCTACAGGACAGAGTAGAACTGCCCTGTAGGGTTTCCAAGGTAGATTCAAACTGCGGACCTTTTGGTTAGCAGCCGAGCTCTTAACCACTGTGTTACCAAGGCTCCGTGTATGTATACACGTGTACAAATCTGTAGTTCTCTGAAGCTGATACAATTGTCTTATCTAGAGCAGTGGCTCTTTACTGTGCATTGGAATCACTGGGAGGGCTTGTTAAAGCACAGATTGCAGGACCCCACTCATTACTTTCTGATTCAGTAGGTCTGGGGAAGGGGGCTCAAGAATTTGCATCTCTAACAAGTTCCCAGGTGATATTGCTGCTGCTGTTCCTGGGACCACACTTTGAGAACCCCTGATGTACAGAGAACAAGAGTAAGAATGGAGATAACTTCCCCTAGTTTTGACTTTTTACCCTTGGCACGCGAACACTCCCTGCAGTGCTAAAGATATCAGTAAATCAGTTGTGAAAGACACGGCTGAAAATCCTGCGTGTGTGGCTGTGCAACACTCTGAATACACTAAAAACCATTGCATCATACGGTTTGAAACGGGGAGTTTTATGGTATGTGAATTATGTCTCAATTTAAAAAAGACATGTAAAATTTTTGAGTTACCTTTTCCCTCTTGTAAAAATATTCCAATAATTCAGCTGTCTTGATTATCTAGTGCTGCTGTAACAGAAATACCACAAGTGGATGGCTTTAACAGACAGAAATTTATTCTCTCACAGTCTAGGAGGCTACAAGTCCAAGTTCAGGGCATCAGCTCCAGGGGGAAGGCTTTCTCTCTCTGGCAGTTCTGCAGGAAGGCCCTTGTCATCAATCTTGCCCTGGTCTAGGAGCTTCTCAGAGCAGGGACCTCAGGTCCAAAGGATGCACTCTGCTCCTGATGCTTCTTTCTCGGTGATATGAGGCCCCTCTCCTCTCTACTGGAGTCTCTCTTTTTATATCTCAAAGGAGATTGACCCAAGATACAACCTAATCCTGTAGATTGAGTCCTGCATCATTAACATCCTAGAGGTTAGGATTTCCAACACATAGGATAATCACATCTGATCACAAAATGGAGGACAACCACACAATACTGGGAATCATGGCCTAGCCAAGTTGACACACATTTGGGGGGGACATAATTTAATCCATGACATTAGCCCTTTCCCAACTCCCCTCACTTTTCAAACGATGGCCTTAAAAGAAATAACAAAAGAGGATTAAGAACACTTATGTAGTTTCCACATGTAATAAGAAAGGAGGGAGGGAAGAGAATTTCCAATGGGCGATGTTACTATTTATCAGGATTAGTGTTTAACAGGATTAGTGTTTTGGAACCAGTTATCCATCTGTCAGTTTGTCATACTGTGGTGGCTTGCATGTTGCTGTGATGCTGGAAGCTCAGATTTTTAAAAAGCCACCAATATTTCAAATACCAGCAGGGTTACCCATGGTAGACTGATTTCAGTGGAGCTGCCAGACTAAGGCTAGGAAGAAAGGCCTGGCTATCTACTTCCAAAAACCAGCCAATATAAATTTTGTGGATCACAAAGTAGAGGGCCAGTGAGGGCGAGGGAGACCCTCGGTGAGATGGGTTGGCAGAGTGGCCGCAACGATGGACTGGAACATGCCAGGGCTCGTGAGGATGACCGGGGAGCACTGTGTTCTGGTGTCTGGTTGCTATGTGCAACAACAACATTTAGTTTCCACAGCCAACAGAAAAGGAGGGAGGGAAGGGATTTCCAATGGTCCATATTGTTATTTATCAGCAGTTTGGGAAGCAGTTACGGGCGGGAGAGGAGTGTAGGAGGTTACTATGGATCTAAAAGTATGATTTGGGAAGTAGCTGCAAATTCCTCTTCACACTTAACATGTATCCTGGAGAGCTGATTGTAGAAGTTCATCAGCTTCGTGCATCTTAACACTCTTGTTATGTGAAGCCTCCTAGGCAACTGCAGTGCAATAGATTTAGCAGAGCAACGGAGAATGACTTGGCCAAACCCGATTGCTTTGCCTAAACTTGGGAGGGGAGGGTCCTGTAAAATGGTGTTTGCACACACACGTGACCAGCCACCTGCTTGGTTCCCACACTGAGTAAGAACTCCTTGTTTCCCTGTATCTTTCTGGCAAGAAGCTCCAAGTGCGTGCTGTTACTCAAAGACCAAGAGACTAAGGGCTTCCTGCCCACCTTTCCCTGCAGGAGACCTCACAGGTGGGAGGGCACAAGGGACACCCAGCTGGGAGCCTTCACTCAGGAGCCCACTGCTCTGCTTCTGTCCCTGTAATGAGCCCTGGTCCCGTCACCATGGCTGCACTGGGCTAGGGGAGCCATTTTTAGCAATTCTAACGCTGCCTAAAGATGGTGAACTTACGTGTTTCTCTGTTCATTTGGGTTTCGTGGCTTTTAAAAAATCTTAGCTGTTTCATCTGTCTTTCTCTTTATGTTAGCTTTTCTCCTTGTAATGTATTTTTACTCTCGGTGGACATTTATATAAACATGTTTCCAGTGATAAAAGGGATGCTGCTTATTTAGGCAGCTGAAGCACATGGCTAAATTGAGCTTCCTTTTTACAGGCTACACGACGTTATGGATTGAACTGTGTCCTCCAAAAATATGTGTTGTAAATCCTAACCTCTATGCCTGTGGTTGGGAGCCCTGGTGGCGCAGTAGTTAAGCATTTGGCTGCTAACCAAAAGGTTGGAAGTTCAAATCTACCAGCCGCTCCTTGGAAACCCTAGGGGGCAGTTCTACTACATAGGGTCGCTATGAGT